CAAGTTTGAGATAGTAATAACAAAACTAAAAAAAATTAACTAATAAGAAAGCTTCAACCAGAAAATAGCTCCATGCAATTAGCCTAAACTATTATTTTTTACCAGTAACAGAAAAATTATTGATCAACAAAAGGATTGCTATCGAGAGAATGAGGCATCAATCAAATTAAAAAAAAAAAAAATAATAATAATAATCCACCTAAAATAAATAGATGCAAGGGATGCACCAAAATCTCAAGACTCAACAAACTAACACCAATTCAAATAGGAGGAAAGCTCGAGAACATAACAGTTGCAACATGGATTGCAAAAAGAAATATGAGCAGACATCCGTTCATAACCCCCTACTTGAAAAACATAGTTCTGGATATAAATATGCCCACACCAAGAAATTGTATGTCCTTAAACTAAGTTAACTAACAGGATTTAAGATACACCAACGCAAATATCAGTGGATGGTCATCCCTACACACCTATTGTAATAATGGCATTGAGAGAATTTAAATTTACATACCACTATCTTCATCATCATTCAGTGCGGTTTTCTGAAGAAGGCATGCACCCATTTCTTGCAACGAGACTGAGAATTCTAAAAATAAGACATAAGAACCATAGTTAAATAACAAAGTTGCAGGACCAGTTATACCAACGGAGATGGAGATCTTAAAATCTGGCATACCCATAGATTTAAGAAGGCTCAAATTCAAAATTATATATCATGAAAGTAAAAGAGTCATGCAGCATTATGCATTCAAAGACATAAATTTGAATATTGCAGAATTTCCTTATGGTAGTAACTGTTTATTTTCCTCGAGAAAGGAGGCAAATTAAGTGGATCGATCAGCCAAATTTTAGCTCTGTCATTCATATATAGACACATTCAAAGCTGGTGGATACAAAAGCTAGAGGTATGAAGATATTATTAAGGAAATCATCTGGGAAAAAAGTTAACAAAACAAGAAAATCCACCAAACCACTTTGCTTGAGAATTGAAAATAACAGCCCCAAATAATAATTAACAGTGCGACGACATTGGCTAAAGGAGGCATAGAGTTCACGTCTTTATGCATTAAAGCATCCTGAAAATTTTGATTCAATAATATTATTGAAAATTTCGATCGTTCATTCCTTTTCAATTGCATGTATACCGATATCAACCTCATCCTTCAATCTACAATTAAATAAGACCATTGCAAACATAAAATTCAGATCTTATGGCATTTTGTTTGCAGAGAAAATGTAAGGGAAACATGCAAATAAAGTAAGGCAGCATAATAGCCTCCTGCTTCAAGCAGCTGGTAAGAGATATAAAAGAGAGTTGACTGAAACTCGATATGTTAGAACATTGGTTGATCTAGAAGTTACCGTAAGCACTATTTTCTGTAGCGGCAGCTGCAGAAAGTAAGCTATCATAACAGTCTCTCATTTCTTCCATGTCCTGAAAGCACAATACCACAGTAACCAGTAAGAATTTCACATAATCAACACTTAAAACAATCCTGAAGCACTCCTACGAAGAAGGAAAAGATGAGAAACAGAGGAAAAACCCTAAAATTCCCGTTTCCATTCTTCCTCGTGCATCTAACAAATCTCAATTAATTGCCAGAAACAAAATCCCAATAGTAAGGATCAGTTCCAGAGCTAGATTAAGGAAAAGAGGAAAACAAAAACTGAGGATGAAATAGAAGAAAACTGGGGGAGCCCTGGTCTAGATTTCGCAATTCCGTGTCAATTCCGCAATTCATCCCCAAGAAGGCAAAGGGTGGAAGCAAAAAAAAAAAAAAAAAAAAAAAAAAAAAAAAAAAAAAAAAAAAAAAAAAAAAAAAAAAAAAGGAATACCCGAGAAGCCTGAGCAAGCTCATCCAATTGAGCCAAAGGACGAAGATCTACACGGTCCTTAGCTTCGTGCCTGTGCAGTCCAAAACCCTTGAACTTCCTCAAAGAAGTCTTCATTTTGCGAAATCGAAGCAATTGGTGAAGTGTAGAAGGGGAAAACCAAAAGATGCAGAGAGTATGAGGAAGATGAAGAAAAGCCCTCAATCTCAATGCCACTTTTTTCTTCGTTCAAACTCCTCCATTCTCAGCTTGCGTCAGGCAGAAAGGGAAGAACCAAATTTCAATAAATAATAATTATTAATTCACAATTTTATCCCCAAAATTGTAATAAAAAAAAAAAAAAAAAAAAATCTCAAAGCTCCTTTCTTCTTCTTCTTCTTCTACATCTTGACTTTAATTTTATTTGTTAAAAGAAAAAAAAAATAAATTTTCCGTTTTNAAATTCGTGTGTGAAGGCCACGTAGTAGTGCGCAAAATTAGTGGAATTGATCATTTCAGTTTGACTGTGTTCTCGTTGATTAGCGGATACCACTATTTTTATTTTTATTTAAATATTCTTTTTATTGTAATCTTGGAATCATTTTTTATTTGTCTAAATCAGGACCGATATAGAAAAAATGGTCAAACATATATTTACTTTTTTTTTTTTTAATATATATTTAAACCATTATTTTATTTTAAGAAGTTTCATTATTCATGGGAGCCATTTAAATGATCCTTTTCAGTCACCAACTAACTATTTAATTTATAAAAAAAAATAAAAATCAGAGTTTTAATTTAATTCTAGGAAATAGCAAGAAATGTTGCTGGGACAGTAAAGTATAATAATAAAACAATAAATGTGGGGTGGAATAATAATTACATTAATAAATATTTGTCAATATAACAAGTAGTATGGAATAATATTACACCAATATTTTAAATGGTCTGGAATTAAGTTTTTTAAAATATTACAAAATTAAAAGAAAAAAAACAACTTTTCATAAGTCGTCTACACGTAAGTTGGAAAGCGTGCTTTTTACTTGCAATTTCTCTTAATTTTCTTTTTCTTGTAATGAGTTTATATTTCAAGGTGCCGCACGTGAGATCTAATCCACACATTTAAAGCAATTTGAAATTTCAGAAAAATACCATTTAGGTTTCTTTTATTTTTATTTTTAAAAATTTGGTCGCCTTTTTATACTCATACTAAAAAAAAACATGAATATTTATTTTATTATTTGTTTTAAGGTTAACTATGTAATTTAATCACTTTTTTACTATTATTTTCAAAACAACATTTTATTTTATTCTTAGCTACATTTGAAAACAAACAATAGACTATGGGGGAAAACTTATTTTCAAAGTTATTGAAAATTGGATTTTTTTTAATAATAAAAAGTTAAAAAATCTTGCAAAAGGAATAAAAGAATATTCAACTTATTAAGGCGAATAAAAATGATAAATAATAATATTTTTTTCCAAATATTCAAAATTTGAAGGGGCCACAGGTAGAAAAAATAATGAAGGTCAACAGCCAGTCAAACCTTCTATACCACGTTGTCGCCCTGGCAACAACCATCATTACAGTCGTGCCACAAAATTGTTTGACTTTTACCGATTTTTTTTTAATATAAAAAGTATCCTCTATTTTTAAGCTTAATGTATTTAAATATTATTCAACTTTGAAAAAGAAATTTATATTTAAGAAATTATTTCACATAAATCTAAAGTAAGCATATTGTCATTTTATTCGATAAGATGTTGGTATACATAAGTATCTAAAAATATTGAAAAATCATTTCTAAAATAATAATAAGAAATTTCAATTACTTCATCTAAGTTTTCTTACCATTCTACAAAACATTATTTGATAAATTAGTCAACAGTGTGAATCTTAAATAGACCTACCGGAACTACAGAATCTCGTAATGAATGTCAATAGTTGTTGCTATTAATTAATGGAAAATTAATGAGTGTTTAAATTGATCACACAATTAGCATTGAAAAGGGAATTAGATGTGATGGAAACATAATGTGAACTATATAAAACAAATAATCAATAATTAAGGGTTTTCAACTAGAAGAAAAATGCAATTCAAAATGTTTTAATTCATATTAAGAAGCCAACTTCATTTGATCATTCGGCAATTTACAATTGCGTGGTGTGAATAAAAATCATGGAGACAGCCAAAAGTGGGCAGTGTGAAAGAATCGATAGGTCTTCAAAATTAAGAAGGAACCGGAAAGAACACCCATCAGACACAAAGTTGGAAACAGCAGAGCAGATTTTTCTTTGTTCAACAACTTTGACTTCGTTTCTTACTGGACCAAAATGAACCAAGTGTTGGAAGTTCTCGATTTATACAATGATTCTCTTTTCTTTTCTTTTCCTTTCTTCTGAGGGTTCTTCGTAAATTAAAATCTACGATGAGGATTGAAAATCATTTAATTTCATGACTTAATTTTATGGAGGAGGACCTGAACCAACTTATGTGATATTACCAAAAGATAAAACCCACAGCCACTAGTTAGCCATGAAAGAATCTGGAGCAAGAGAATCTCAGAAACCTTAAAATCCATGAAAATTTTCTACCCATCTCACTTCAACTACAGATTGTCTGGAGTAACAAGTTGATACACACCGGCCCCAACCCACTACTTGCTCTCTGCAATAGGCGCAAAGTGGGGGTTTAGAATGCCAAACCACTGTCCGACAACGTCTATTACTACAGGTTATTTTATGTTTCAGCTTCAAGCCATGGAAGTGAGGAGAGTAGGAGAAAATCGGTGTGGAGTGGGGGAAGAGAACTAAAGAGAAAATGAAATTCGTATGCATGTATGTATGTAAAATCAGTAGGTCCAATTGGTGTGGACATAATGTAAAACCAGGCGCGATGGAAGATTCGAACTTACAAGACAAGCAAAGGATCAGTAGCGCAAAGCAGAAGAAGAAGGAAGCATGTGACTATCAAATAGAGTTGACAAAAATGAAATTCCCATCTTTGACAACATTCTCCCAAGTCATTTTAACAACTTGGTTACGTCCCCAGATCAGACACCATCACAGAAACAATGTACAATTTCCTGCATCTGCCAAGCCAATTATTATTTTACAAGTCCCAACAAAATATATTCACTAAAAGCCAAATCATTCCCTTTTGTAGTTTGATTGGACTTGCCCGTTAAAAGAATGGATGTAATTGTCTTGGCTAAAAGGCGAGTGAAGTTTAAATAGCAAATAGTTTTATTGTACAAGGGAAGAGTGAAATTCCTCCTGGATTGAGACAATAGGAACGGCAAAGGACAAAGAAGTCATAAAATCTTACCCCTAAGATGGAATTTTTTTTTCAAGATTGGAAGAGTAAAATCAACCGGAAGCCGCCAATGGTACAGCCCTGTAGCATGCTCTTTTTGCTGCTCGAATGATGTCCTCAACCTATACAATTATTAGCATCAAGCAAAAAAAAGAAAACCGTCTATCAGGAGTGGAACAAACAAGAAAGACGGGGGAGTTTTAGTTAGTCTTAGATTCAAAAAAACTATATGATATGAACCAAGAGACATCAGTCATACAATATGCTTCAATGAAGATGTGAAGAAAAAATTGTTGAAATTATCAAAAGATATTTCAATTCATGCCACATTGAAGAAGAATGAAGTTTCATGTTTTGAATTTTGAGTGGATTACAATTTAGAGTAATTTAGAGTTATTGTATTTCATTAATGTATTTTAAGACTTTTAATTTACTTTAGGTTACAATTACATAATGGTTAATTAAGGTCATTAAGTACGAATGCTACAACTCTTGAAATGCCTTTAGTAGTTTCATTTTGAGGCTATATAAAGCCATGTATGTTGTATTTGTAAGTAGACTTGAAAAATATAGTAAAAGAAGCATTTGTGCTTTTGTTTAGCCAATGGCTAAGTTTATTTGCAATTCTATGGAGTTTAGATTGCATGTAGAATCATTCAAGCTCAACATGATCAATCTTGTTTATGGAGTGATTCGAATCTCAAACAAGTGTTTGAGATATTTGATCAACAAGAATCATTCAAGCTATACATGATCGATCTTACTTGTGGAGTGATTCGATCAAAAAGGTAATCCGAATCCTGCTCCCCTTGTAGTGGTTCCTTATCTTATCACTATGATTTTTAAAAATCTTAGATCTAAGTTGGCTGGATAGGTCTGGTGGACAATAAGAGTCATGGGTTGAATAAAAGACTTGGAGGAAATGAGTTTAATCCAAGGTGGTCACCTACCTAAGATTTAATACTTTATGAGCTTCCTTGGCACCCAAATATTTAGAGTTAGTCGATTGTCCTGTGAGATTAAGCAAAGTGTGCCCAAGCTATCCTAGCCACTCACGGATATTAAAAACAAAACAAAAACAAAATAAAAGTTGGCCCTAATTTGAAGAATTGAAAGATTTGTGTAAATTAGAAAGTACAATTTTACTCCCTCCTTAACATAACTTCTGGGACTGCCTTTGACAGAAATTAATTTCTCAAAAGACAATAGATGGGTCTTGTTACCTTGACAAAAGACTAATAGTTTTTCTTTATCTCTGGCACTGTGTCAAATGAACTTTTGAAGAAGGATGCTAGATCAGCGACATATATCTATCTCACTAGACGAGTTCTTTCTTCTCTCTCACTCTATTGAAATTACACTAAACTTTTCAGGGGATAAAAGGCTTTTAGAAAAGGTGGGGAAAATGAACCTGAGGGACAGCCATCCTTTCGAGATTGGCTGCATAAGGCATGGGAATGTCAGCCCCTGCAATCCTCTGCACCGGTGCATCAAGATAGCCAAAACTTTCCTCGACAACAGATGTGCTGCCAACATAAAAAAAAAAATATTCACTTTAAGTTAATAGGGCGTCTACAATGTCAATCAAGAAGGTGAATAAATGTGAAAAGAGGGGGGAAATCACAAACCAGATCTCAGCTCCAACGCCATGCTGAGGAAACCCTTCTTCAACTGTTACTAATCTGTTGGTCTTCCTAACTGAAGCATTAATTGTGGCTCTGTCTAGTGGTCGAATAGAGCGCAGGTTTATAACCTATACCAACAAAATAGGCCATAACACTTTTGATCAACAAAACAAAATCAATCTACAAACATCTAAAAGAACACATCTAGAAAAAAATTACCTCAGCACTAATTCCTTCTTTGGAAAGTACTTCAGCTGCCTGATAGTTCAAGCAATAGAGTTAGTCGTGGATCTAAGAAACTCTAAACATCGCTAAAGATGTGCATCAAAATTTAAGATCACATACACCCAGGAAAATCTCTTATAATTTCCCATTATTCCAACCTAAAAGTTGCCAGAAAAACAATCTAGCATCTTAAGGTACGATCTTCAGATCCACCTCAATTGGTTGAGCTAATGCAAAACTATCACTGTTTACATAAAGTGCGTAAGGAGTCTTTTGGAACCCAAGAAGACTTTCCTTGAAATCTAACATAATCATGAAAAAAAGCCCTGAAGAGTAAGATAACCTCCTATATTACATTCTTATGAACAAAATGTCTCTAAAAGACTCGCTTCTCATCAGCAATTCTAAAGATGCATATTCAAGAAGTTGTACTTCAAATAATATTCACCAACTGAAGAACTTAACTTGCCCCTCACAGGTCAAATTAGTCCTTGACATGGCAAGTTAAATAAACAACCAAACCCCAAGACCCAAATAACTGAAGGATACCAACCTTAAGTGCATATCCCACCATCTTTGAAAAAGCAGTAATGGTCACATCCTCCCCTTCTCTCTCAATCTATCAAAAAGAAATGGTATAAAGTTAAAAACGTAAGATGAGTACCAAAACAGAAACTATCTTCTGAAATATATCAAAAGCAACAACAGAATCACCTTAGCTTTTCCTATGGGAGCAGTGAAACTGGAATCAAGGACCTCCGCTGAAACAGGGAAGGATTCACCATATCTGAGGCAACAGAGCACATCGTTAATAATTATTTTCCTAGAAAGTATAAAAGCAAATTCTTTCACCACTTACAATAATTCATTTTCAAGAAACACCACAGGGTCTGGATCCCTTATAGCAGCTTTTAAAAGCCCACGAGCATCTTCAGATGAATATGGGGCCAAGACTTTCAAGCCAGGACAGGCGCCATACCATGCTGCATAACACTGCACAGGCAAATTTGAAGCACATTGCATGGATTTCCCAAATTCACCATATGAAGTTGAGTAGAAAATTGTTTTTTCATTGATAAATTAAACACTCATAGAGAACAAAATAAGAAAGAATACCAAAAGGTCAACTAAAGGACAACAGAAAAACAGATTAACAAAAGACGAGCCTAGAAAATGGCAGCCCAAAGAGGAACCAAACTGAAAATAGCCTGAAAAAAACAACAAGAAAGAGCTCCAACCAATCCAAATGCATAAGGCCTAGCGAATAATTACCAAAATCTTTAGAAAGAAAGACCTAAAGTTAACTCAAATTTTTTAGGCATTAATATACAATCACATGCACACGCAAAAGGTAAAAAGGAAAGGAAAAAAAATCAACCTGAGAGTGCTGCGCACCAACTCCAGCAGCTGCACCATTGGGTCCTCTAAAGACAATTGGCACAGAAATTTGCCCAGCTGACATATAATTTGTTTTTGCCGCAGAATTAATGATATGATCAATGGCCTACAGTAATGAGAAAGAGCTGAGACAAACAATGATTGAAAAAGGAGACTGGGAGTATAAAGACAATTGGCTCAGAAATTTGTCCAGCTGACATATAATTTGTTTTTGCCGCAGAATTAATGATATGATCAATGGCCTACAGTAATGACAAAGAGCTGAGACAAACAATGATTGAAAAAGGAGACTGGGAGTATAAAATAGTAGAAACAATCAATATGGTGGAAAATAAATTGGACATAAGCATTTAGACTTGAGCCCTGAGAAAGCTAAAATATAGTTGCATACCAAAGACAAGCAATGTGAAGGCAAAAAGTTGGAGAACAGAACAACAGGATGAATTACAACAACATAAATGCTTAAAGGACAGTTCAACAATTCAATTGGCAAACAACTCTAACATGAAGAAAGACAAACTCCAGATGAGAAGAAAAATGAAAAATCAAGCTATATACAGAATCCAAACGATTAAAACTGGAAACAAATACATTTTAATATATATATTGGAATTCATATAACTTTATGGCGCTACAAATGCTAGGTAAGACACTTAATCCTTGCAGCTTTCTTTGACCTCTTTATTTTAGTCAAAGCCCTTACGAGGATTTGACGTGTTTACTATAACTCAAAAGGGGAATACACGTGCAACAACAGTTCAATATTACCACAGGTTTTTGCTATCGTCAATCCTCAACATATGGGTGGATGTAACATTACAAACTATTTAAAACACACAAATACTGTAACTAATCCAGTTTAAAAACTAAAAATACCAAATAAAGTTAACAGTTGGCACCACTGCTCCCAGATGATTTGGAATCAAAATTTACTCCAACCAGCTAATGAAAGAAACCAGAACATGTCACCAGGCAACAGCAAAACACATTCATCAGTTTTTCGTTAAGCAGACAGAGTTCAGAACCAAGATTTTAGAGTTAGCTAATACAAGCAGAAAACACACGAGGGGATCCTTGTACATGGTGAATAACCAAATTCCAATTAAAATGATGAAAATGAATTGTATGCAATTCATTGTTATAACCTGCATAGAGAAATTAAATGTCATAAACTCCACAACAGGCTTCAGACCATGGTAAGCAGCGCCAACGCCAATACCAGTAAACCCAGCCTGCATAAATTTAGAGAACATTGGGTCAGAAAGAAAACAATCATTTTCCTTTAATATATTTTGCTACCATAGCAGTGAAAAATTCAAAATAGCTCAATAAAAATTGAAGGAAAAAGAATATATCCTGGATGAAACACCAACCTCTGTGATTGGGGTATCAAGAACCCTCTCAGGACCATATTTCTCCAGAAGCCCTTTGGTTATCTACTTGAAGGGGAGAGAAAGGCCAACAATTGTTGAAATGCACAATACAAACGGATACAATATTCAAATATCACATGAATTAGATATCATCTCTTTAACATGTCTAACCTTATAGGCACCCTGATATTCTCCAACCTGCGTTAGAATGTTTGAAATTAGCCATAAGGATAGACACGTCAATATAATATACAAATGGATTCATGTTCATTCTCCCTCACCTCTTCACCCATCAGAAAAACTTTAGGATCAGCAGACATTTCTTCATCAAGTGCAGAGTTTAGAGCATCTCTCACAGTCATCTGTGCATATTTGGAATAAGTTTACGAAAGAATGTTAGCCTTTCGTTTTTAAACAACAAAATTGAGCAGCATGATGGACAGACATTCCTCGACTATAATACGACAGAATGAGCTCAAAGAGAGAGAAAGAGAGAGAGTAAATGGAAAGTCATTAAATCATGCACAGATATCTAATAGATGGGTGACTAAATAACTCGCTCAAAAGTGAGAGAGGAAAAAATATAGTCCTGAACATTATTTTCAAAACGAAAAAATAAAAGGAACCTTAACCATTATTGATGAGAAGAAACCAAATTACTGTGCTCTTAAAATGTTTCAGCATACAATATCGAAAAATGGTCCCTAACAACCCGAATCCTAAAGCAAGAAGGACATGATGTATTGAAACTACGAAAAACACCAGCTGAGGCTGAATAAGAATAGATAAAGTATCGAAGGACACGAGACAGTATACTACCTCTTTTGCGGCAGATGAATAGTATCTCGATGCTGAGGCGGCAGGGCGAAGCCTCTGCAAAGCCTGGCCGGAAGTCTGGAAAGAAAAAAAAAACGCGCACACAGAAAGCATAAAAATCACTGGAAAAAAATCTTCTATCCAATGCAAAGAGAAATTTCATTCAAGTGCATGGAACAGGACCAGAATACAGGAGGCTCCAGCTCCAACTTTTTTCCGAACGATTCCCCACATTTTTCTCGCGCGAAAGACAGCTCTGCGAAATGAAAAAACAAAAGCTTATACATTTCAAACGATCCAACTCACAGTTCCATTTCAAACATCAAAGTATCTCACAGACGTCAATTCACCGACATGCAATCCAGTTTCACTTTCAACTTCAGCAAGATAAGGGGAATAGGAAAAGGAAAACAAACACATCAACATCAATATCAACAAAAACAACAATATCTGATACACCAGATGCATCTGCAAAAACAACAACTGTAGCAGAATTTCAAAACCTGAATCGAAGAATCAATTGAACAGGTTGCAAAGCTTCAACAATGGAAAAAAAAGCGGCAGCTGAAAGAGAATCAGATTCATGGATAAACAAAGAAGGCGAATAATATGAACCTTAGCTCGGCCGGCGTATATGGATTTGGACCGCTGCAAAGGTTTAGATCCGATGAGACAAGAAATTTAGGGGAATGCAGGGGTTTGAAAACGGCGAGCCCACCACCACCTTACCAAACTCTCCTAATATTTCCCAATTTTACTTTTGGAATTATTTTTTTTATTTTTTTTATTTTTTGGTTTAAACTCCACAATGAACTTTTACTGTGAGCCAAAGCAACGGAGAGTAGGGGGCAAATTAGAGAAATATTGGATTAAATTATTTTTTTTTAAAGTTAATTTATCAACCTATAATATATATATTTTTTTTAATTTTTATAATAATGCATTGAATTAACCTAATTAATGATTTGATGGTAATAAATTCAAAATAATGTATTGATTAAAAAAAATCCAATAAATTATCATTTATAAAAGTACATTAATTATTGTAAGTAAATATCTATTGAAACGTTTAGTAAATTAGTAATTTATTAAATATAATTAATTGAAATAATTTGGTATCCATCTTTTATTTTTAATAATCAAATTCGTTGAAACTGTACATTTCTTATTTACTGAAATATGAGTTCCCCGATTAATGAATTATGAAATTAATCTCATTCAAATATTCAAAAGCTTTTTAGTGTATAATTTGATTTAGTAATTGAGGAGAGTAATTTAACCTATTAACGTTATTGTTTGTGTTCGCGGGGGTTGAGTGAGTGCGCCATAAAACCGAAGCTTTTGGGGGGGGAATTCGGGCATACAGCTGGGCCACGCTCGGAATCGAGAAAGCGGAAGGGGAAGGAAGATGGCGGGTGCATTTTGGGGGACTCGGGTATTGGAGATTGTGAAGAAGCACGATTCTGGAGGTTTAGTCTGGAAGAGAATTAAGCTCACCACAACCCGTAAGGCCAACGCCAAAAAAAGGCTTCTTCGTGTTTGGCAGGTTTTCTCTCAATTTCAATCTCAATATCACTTCGCTGTTTATGGTCGCCGTTAGGGTCTCTGGAGAGTTCTGTCAGTACTCGATTGTCCGTCATATCTTGCTCTGGGTCGGTTTTAGGAGTAGAACTTCAGGGGTTTAGATATAACTGGACGATGACATCGAATCATTAATCCCCTTAATGTCGGAGCATCGCTTTGATTTTATATACGCATTGGACTGACATTTCTGAAAGCCATGTTGAAAACATTGGATACCATGTTAAACATTCGTAACAGTTAACAGTGAAGACCAAATGTGAGAGGGGCTCTTCTAAACTAAAAATGTTAGGCCTCACGATTTTCTAGTCACCTGTCTCTAATTAGAATTTTTTGGAGTTTTTGCCAATAGAGATAGTTTGGTAAAACAACCTTCAGGTGGATGGTTCCGAATCAGAATACCATTTGTAAAAAAAAAGTCTTCTTTACCTATCTTGGAAGAAAATAGATTCTCCATAACCTTTTAGCTTCTAGATGGAGTTTCTTAGTTAAAGAGTTTGTAATTGTGATTCATTTCGATTCATGCTATGGGGATCCATTTGTAACTTTCTTGGCTAGAATGAGTTGGAGAATGTGTTTTCTTCCCTTCGAGTCTTCCTTTCATGCACTTATTTATGTTTTGGTGACACATCTTATCCGAAAAAGAAGAATGTCTTAACATGAAATATTATCTTTTTGGTTCATATCGATGATTACTTTCATTCAAGTTGCAGAATTTAGGCAAACCTTGTATAAAAATCTCCATGGACTAACTCAAAATTAGGTAGACACATAGAAAGCAAGTTTAATCAACCGAGCAATGTGTAAAATAGCCTTTCTGGTCGAGGAACTGAGGGGCAAGGACCATTGGACATGGACCTTCATAAGCTTACATCTGTAGCTACATATACCAACAACGAGCCATGGACTTTTGCTATTGTACGAAACAAACTTTGCATTCACACAATGAGCCAATAGCTGGGATACTCATGGGTATAAAAATGAAAAATAAATTAATTAATTAATTAATGAGAAGGAAAGGGACCACTTGAACAGAGTTGCAGGGAGATTGATTTTTGGAGAGGATGAAGCCATTGAAGTTTTTTTTTTAAAAAAACTTCCATCAAACTTGGGAAAGCAACAGTAGCCTTACATTTCTTCCATAGATTTCTCAGCTTCATGACTGTAGAGGTTTGCCTTAGATCATTTTCTGATTCTCATTTGGTGTTAATTAAAATGGGCCCTTATATCTTTCAATTTTGTGTAAATGTGGCTTAAGCATATCGCCTTTTTATGGAATCTTGAAAATTGGCTTCTCCCTTCGAAGGCTGGCCAGGTCATGGCTTGATTAACAAATCTTAAAAAATAAAGTCTTTGCTGGAAAGATGGAATTAGGAAGCTCTTGGCAACATTTTCTCAAAAATGCCAACAATCTTGTTGATCTGAAAGCAGTTGATGAGTTGGAAGATGTTGCCCCTCTTGACACATCTTGAAAGGCCTTTAAAAGCACCGTTTATTTCAAACTCCAAAACCTTGTTGATGGAAGAAGGTAATTTTGGATTCAACTGTGCAAATCTCTCACATTGGAGGGAGGAGATGAAGTTTCCAACTAACATATAATAATTGACAGCAAGAGGAAGAAAGTTTTTCTTTGAAATCCTCAGTCTGGATGGCGCAGCCTTATAAAGCACCTTTAAATGAAAAAATAATTTCTTCTTTCATTCATAGACTGAATTATGAAAAAGGGGATCAGATTTCTAGCTTCAAACTTGGAATGAAACCAACTTCCATCGCTCAAAGCTCACCCCTAAATGCTGATTTCAAAGGAGGAAAATTTCCTTTCTATTTATGGCTTGGTTTCCAACAAGCTCTGGGTCTTGATGGATTTATTGTTGAGTTCTTCAAAACGTCTTAGAAACATCCGAAGGTGTACTAAATATATATCTTCCCCCCTGATAATATCATTCACAAGTCCTTGAAGGAAGCTGATACGAACCCTATCCCTAAGGAAATCATATGTAAGAATAGTAAGAGACTTTTGCCCCCATTAGCTTTATCTCTTGCCTCCTTAAGTTTATAAAGTGGAATGTCTATTCGGTGAAATAAAAATTTTGAGGGTCAGCATAGATATTCACTATTTAGCTGTTAGAATTGCATCAGAAAGGATAATGTATACTATTCTATAAGTCTTGGCAAAGTGACTAAAAGGTTCACGTAATTAGTTTTTACTTAATCGAATTATCTTGTTATGATTGTCAAATTTATATGCTAAAAAGGACATTATGTCAAGTCTTGATTACTCTTCATGAGTGGATTTTCTCTTTCTAACAATATTGTGGAGGTATTTGTTTAGTCTTATGTATGGTGAAAATTGCGGCTTTTGACTGTTTATTGTTCAGGAGCGAATACAATTTTATTTTTAGTTGACTTGTATAAATTATGCCTCTCAAATGCATCCATCTGAAGGTGGTTCATTCTCGAACCAAGCCAAATTTTCTATTTTTTTACACCTCTGTATTTGTACTTTGGAGATGTACATGCTTGGCCTTTTGGTAGTTACCATGGAATTCTATTTCGAATTTCTGTTCTGCTGTTGTTCTTGTTTTATATATTGTTATTTTACAAAATGGAACTCTACCGATTCTAGATTTATCATTTAAATTTTTTGATGTAACTAAATTCGTATCTTTCCTTCTTTCCAGAATGAGGCTGTTCTGAAGGCATGTTCTGAGCCACCTCCGCCTAAATCTTCAGGAGATAAAATTAGCCAAGTTGGAAAAAATGAGTAAGAACTCTGTAGGATCCAAAAGAGTTTGGCAACTTCGGCATTGCAGTGCCAATCTTTTTCCCCTTATCTGGACCTTTTAGCAAGGAAGAGTAAACATTAAGTAGATATGAGTGATCTCAAAAGTTGTAATCCTCGCATGTAAGCGAAGATAACACACTAGTGTGGAATTATTGCCTGGAGTTTCTCACCATTTTTGTTTGTTTTTGTCATTTGATTTAATGCGATTAGTTTTTCATGGTCCTGACTGCCTCATGAATGACTCGTCTTTCACTAAAAATATTTGATATTTAGCTTTCTGAGCAAATTCACCATTGAAATTGGAAGTTTCGGGCTGAAAATATCTGAATTGGAAAAGAAAGACAAGCCTTCTAGAAAAATGTTCATCCTTTCTAGTGTTCGTGTAGTATATTTCTAACTAGTCACAACCTTTAAACACATGAGATGGGTTTTGTATGATGGAGTAGAATGAGCCTTCTAGGTGGGTTGATGGACGATGGAATTATGTGAACTTCTATTGAAATACGTACTCCTTTATGTTTGATTGGCAGAAAATATGAATATGATATGCAAATTCTTATTGAGGTAAATAGGTTAGGAGAAAACAGCTCTAGTTACTGAATCTATTGGACTGATATGGACTTTGCATACAGTTCTAATTTGTTTCGAAGTTCTTTAGGGACTTTTTCCTTGATGGTTATTCTGTTTGATTTCAGACCTCAATAGGATGATACTTAACCTGTTGCTGAGGTAAATGCAGCTAAAAAAAGTTTCAGGATAAACTTGTTTGTACAGTTCGGTACTTGAAAGCTTAACTTGTATTATACGGCAAGTGGTACTCGGCATCTAAATGGTAGATAGGGTCTGTGGGTAGGGTTGCCCTCCATCATGGAGATTGGAGATATCTTTCCTCATCTACTTGTATATCTGGCTGAACCATCTAAACGCCCCAAGTGTCTTGCAGATGGTTTGTTTTGCAGGAAGTGTTTTGAGTATATAACCGCTGGGCATGAAATGTGGCCAATTACAGGTACGACCTTTCTGCCCGGTTTTCATTTAATTTGAATATTGCATTTGTTGCAAGTGTTTCCATTAAAAGTTGGAAATGCGTGTCTCAAAATGTCAGGCATTTACGAACCATTGAACTGGAGAAGAGTATGAGTAGGTTGATTAAACATTGATGTGAAAGGGGAGGCTGATTGTTCCTCACTTGCTTACAGTAAGTGGACCCCACCAACCGGAACTTTGTGGGATGGATGGGATTAAGATGATTTTTAGCTTTGATTTTGGTGAGAGATTGAAGGGGGGAAGAAGTATAAAAAGAAAGATAGATAGATAGATAGATGTCATTGTTGCAGGGATGCAAAGCAACCTCTCTTATTTAATGTTCGTCCAAAACAAACAGCTTATAAGAGTGGTTGGGT